TATATTGCAATTGTTGTGATACTATACATGACGTCCTCCACCCCTGAAAATTTATGCCATTTCGGTTTGGGGGTGTGACACTACATCACCTGACATTCGATACCTAGAGTCTTAATGGTCTGATCCCCTGTCAGACCTTCCACACCGAACCGCCACAAAGCCAACCTCATAGAGTCCGGTACCAAACAAAATGCTTCCACCCTTGATAACATTGGTACTTCAAATGGAAACAAAGTCATTGACCATATATAGCTACTGAACACTTATACTCGACAGAAGGCTCAGATAATCCTTCAAGTAGAAGATTCATCCTTGCAATGGTTAGACTCAGACGAGAGTTATGAAACAGGGTCAAATCAATTACTCTGAGATTATTTAATCCCACTGCGAGTGACTTAGCACTTCCCAAACGCCCAAATACTTCATACACTCACGAAAACCCAAATCGCTAATATTGCGTGACACAATGATACCGCCCGAAATACTAATACTGCCCGAAACACTGATATTGTTTTCCAAATCCACCGAGACCTCCTTGGTCCCAACTCGTCTGCTAATTTTTTGGAATATCGGGTTCCTGCCCGGTTGCTGAGCCAAAACACTCCCACATAGCCGCCCCTCGCGACTTTTGAAAGAAAGCCTCATAGGCAATAACTTCCCAAACATCTCTTCCTTAACGCGATACTAGGCTGAACGCTACAGACTAACTATAGTCTTACCTCATACCCGGTCTCCCACGACCTACCATATCCTACTTCGGAGCATGTTGTGGTCCTCCCAGAGCTTTGCCACACCATGGCCTAACCATCCAAAGAAAATCGTGAGCAGATCATAATTTGCCACACCCTCACCGCTGCACATGGAGCAGTGAATGCTACGGACCACCCCTGCAGTCTTATGAAACTTCTACGCCAACTACTAACTAGTGAATTCTACAGACCAACCCACAGTCTTACAACACTTCCACCCACCAAAATCGCAGCCCAATGCCTTACTCCTAATCTATCAATTCGAACACACTTAGAGCCGAGCACACACTCAACCGAACACCCAAGCTGAACTCGAGTTATGCCTGGAACCCCAACCTAATTCCCCAAGGTCTGCTATCAGACACCACGAGAACGCAATCTTAAGGTTGGTAAGTTTGTCAACTTCCAACTCTCACTATTCTTAGTCCCAACAACCACTCAGGTTGCCTTCCTCCCTGACAAGGATGTGAAACTCATCCTAGTTTGATACTTGCTTCTAACCTGAATACCCGAACGGTTCTTCCCCACTTTGATTCAACTAAGTCCTCGCAGCACACGAGAATTGAAGGATTCCCAATCCTTCTCACCTACCAATGATCAAAATGCTGACAACCTGTGCTTCCTAATGTTGGTGCTCCATTACTAACCGAACTCAAAAGACCGAACAACCCCCGAAGACCAGCTGAACACTCCCCGAAACCCAACAACACTGATAACCTCTGATACTTAATATGACGTCACACTCAAAACTTGAAGTCCAAAGAACAAATATTCCAACAAAACCTCAACAACAAACCACTTCCCTCGGCACCTCCAAAAACCAATCCAAGCGCCATGGCTAAAACCACTAGATCCCATCGATACTTGACAACTAACCAGTTGAATCCTGACCATAAGCCTTCCACACAATGTTCCCGAACCGATCCCGACTAAAACCAAGATAACACATAACACTTCACACCCGCTATAAGAGAAACAACTCTTCACTAACCACTAATAATTCACGGTATGGAAATTACATATGACATTACTTGAAGATATAACCCAAACATAAGAAAAGAAATAAACAAGAGATACACTTCCCCAAATCGATGCAAGCTTCCAAACAACCAAAAATTTAGATAAATCGAAAAGAAAGCAAAATATACATTCCCGCAACATCGTTTGTTGGAGTCCTGACCTCCCCTGACTGATACTGCAAAGCCCGACTCCTCTCCGCTGGAGCTCTTGCCCTACCATCTCGTCCATCGATAATCCTCAAAGTAGCCGGAGTAGGCGCACTCAGTGCTCCTCCTGATAAGATCAGACAGTCAGCCTTCTTGTGGCCCACCTTATCACAGTAAAAACATAACAGGCTTGCTCCCTGAGGACAATCTATTTTGACGTGACCAATATTGCCACACTTGTAGCATCCCAAACCCCTAGAACAACAAACTCCATCAAAATTATATTATACTTGATCATGTCTATAATATGTTGGTTTAGATGTAATAAACTAAAAATTATAAATATAAAACTAATACATTAAAATACTCATACTATGGTAGGTTTTAATTTTTAAACCACCAAATTTCAACTTCGAAGCACACCACTTACCACAAGCTAACAAATTTTTATTTTTATTTTTATTTATAAACAACAGGTAATATATAGTACAACACGGTATAAGATAAATGGTGGAGCTACATACATCTTAGGTGAGTAATAAGACTTGCTTAAATTTTAATATTTTGTAAAAATTATATAAAAATTTGTAGGACATACTTGTAATATCGAAATTAAAGACCTATCCAATTTTCAATGAGGGAGCCACGTAGTTTTACATATTGTCGTAGGATTTTCATTTCATAATGATAGATGACAATATTATTCTTTAAAAAAAAATTATAACTAGTGTTTTTTTCTTATGAAAATTTACTCGATAAACCTTTTGGTCGTTACTTTGCATTTCAAAAAAAGTGGTTTCAAGAAGTTCACATAGATGAAATAGTTCTCAAAGCTTCATCTTCACCAAAAATTCTTTAACGGGCTTCTGTTCCAACAAGTCAAAGGTCTATGTTTTTAATTTTGTTTTGGTACTGTTCCAGGCAATAAGCATAATCGAATCCACATGAACATGCCTTAAAATCAATGTTTTTTTTTTTTTTTTCAACAAACACAATCGCTAGTCCGACCAAGTAATTAAAAGAGATGGTTTAAATTGGAAAAAAAAAAAAAAAAAACCTGGAAATGAATCGCATAAAATAAAGTAAAATCCAAATAAAATAAACTTATTAAAATTCAATATTAAAAAGTGATTCAACTGTGCAGTCACTCTCCTTGTTATGAAAATAATCAAACCTAGTTATTTGAATTGTGTTTTATTTAAGTTGATACTAAAAACTTACTAACAAACTTTTATAGTTTTCTTTTAATAAATTGTCTAATCAAAATAAGCTTTTTGAGTTAAATTAACTCGATTTTCACTAACTCAATCAAATAAGCTTTTAATTAAATTATTAAAAAACATTAAAATCGATGTAAAATTCTTAGCAAAATCAAATACTTTGTCGATGATTGTGACACATTTCCTTCCTTCACCAAATACAAAGTTATTTTATGTTCTGGACCTATTTCTTAGAACATGACTAAACTATGTGTTTTTCGTTTGATAACCGAACAACACTGACTAAAAAGGCACCTCTTACTAGAAAGGGTAATATCACTTGCAAACCCGGTTAGAGATGAAACAACAAAATAATAATGATTACAAAAACTTGAAATGAGATTCATCGTCACACACTCTGCAACGAACTAGATCCTATATTTGTTTTTTGTTTTTATGTACTAAATCTTTAGATATACATATTGTGTTAATATATTAGAATTAAATGATTTTGGAATTTCATATTTTTCTTTACAATAAGAGAAAATAAAGTTAAAAAAGGCAAAAGTCTCTAAGGTGTTAGGAGTACAAAGACATAAACATATCATTTGTGTTACTACAAATTGTACTTCCAAATTGTCCAAAGACACCATAATCGTGTCGAGAGGAAGTCTTGAATAGAGATAACCGAAAAGGGGAGGAGAGACCACCAATATCACTAACTAGTAACTACTAACGAGGTTTAAAATATGTTCAACTTCTGTAAAATTTTGTTGAGATAGTACTTACATCATTATTGATGTTCAAAATATGGATTATCAGATTTGATGTTTTTCGATCTGTCATGGTAATGTAAATTTGAATTAATCTTTTTTATTTTAACTTAATATCGATTCTAATACATGTAATTTTTTTAAGCAGACTATTATATAAGAACATGCTATCATTTTAATTTACAAATTTTTTTTGTCTAATACAAATATGATTTTTTTAAGAAGCTGAACTATTTATAAAAATATGATTTTAATTTTTTTTGTATCGGATGCTGGTAGTATTTTCCTAATGAAGGACGCTCAATATGAATTGATCATCGCGTACTATATATTTATAAAACATAGAAAAAATTAGGGCTCAAACTATTTACAAACACATTGAGACAAAAAAATACAACACGGCCAATTTGTTGAATATAATCTTCGTGTTAGAGACAACATACTTTGGTTTCGACTTATGATCCTTGCATCTACACATGTTTTAAATGTCTTTATTTGCTTGGCTAAACTCACCTTCTTTACATACTTTATTGCTTGACTAAAAATGATTATAGATGTAGAGCTTTAGACGGCTATCGGACAATTCCAAGATTGTCTGAGCTTTTTGCTAATTCCTTGTGCAATCGAGTTGGAGAGATGGATTGAACGTTGGAAGAGAGTGTCGTGGTTCATTGATAAGATTGGATTCTATGCAATACCTTTGTGTTCGACGAAAATATTGGTTTATAGATATTTAGGAATAATGGGATGATTTCAAAGATTTTTTAATATGTTTTTGAGAAAATGATGAAATATAATTGATTTTCTATAAAACTTTATCATTTAAGAGCATCAATAAGGGCTGAAGGAGTTTATCTCTCATTTTCATATCTCCCATCTCACAACTTGAACATTTTCTAAAAATTTTATCAATATGAATTAGGATTTCCCGGCACCTATTATTTATTGATGGCACTTAAATGATAATTTTCTTTATAGAAAAAAAATATTAAATTTCATGATTGATGATTCTATCAAAAACATATTAATTAAAAAAATCTCCCACATCATCCGTTAAAGGGTTTATCAATCGATACTATATATTGTCGAATAAAAGTGAATAGGCATAGAGATCTATTCATCAACGCCCCATCGGAGGTGTTGATCATCGCGTCTCTTCAACTCGATAGCTGCTGGAATTAGCAATAACTCAAGCAATTGTGGAATTCTCCGATCGCCATCTGGAGCTCCACATCCGCCGTTCTTTTGAGCCGAGCAATAAACTATGTAAATCCGGTAAGTCGAGCCACTAGTCTTGTTATTTCGTTTCAAAAAAACCAACTATGCCATGGTTGAGTGTATCTCATCTTATACAACTTCAAAGTTTCTTGCTTTCTTTAATTTCTAAACCTATTTATCCTCCCTAGCTAATCGCTTTCAAACAATTTGAATAAATTGATTTTCGGATTTTGGTGGAAGAACTTGATGCACATGAAAACATGAAGAAAAAGAAGAAGAGAAAGAAGACAAAGGTAAAATAGACATTTTCAGATATCTAACAGCAGGCTGCAAATATTTGGTTACCCAGCTGGGACCAAAAACGTTATAAAATACTGAAATGATGACCAAAATTTCAACCAAATTTATTAAGGACCAAAAACAAAAACATTAGCTAAACTAAGGGACTAAAATCAATGTCACGATTTTGTCAAAACACATTAATTACAAAGATCTCCCACATCATCCCTAAAAGGGTTTATCAATCGATTCTATATATCGTCAAACAAAAGTGAATACGCATAAAGGCCTATTTCATCTATGCACATCCAGAGCCTGTTCCACCGCTGATCGACGCGTCTCTCCAACTCAAGGGCTGCCGGAATTACGAAAAAGCTCAGGCAGTCGTGGAATTCTGCGACTGACATCTCAAGCTCCACTTCCGCCATCCTTTTAATCCGAACCAAAAACTGTGTGAATCCGGTGAGTCGAGCCGATAGTCTGTTACTGGGTTTTAAACAAACCAACTCTGCCATAGTTGAGTCCTGCATTAAGCAATCTTGAAGTTTAGAACAATAAATGATAAAGAACACTAAAGGATTTGACCATGCCTTCAAATTTAAGAAAGAACTTATTGTGGGGTTTAGAATCAAGAACATAACAGATGCATAACTGGGTTTTTCAATAAATTTTAATCAAGAAAAACTAAAACACAAAGGTTATCTTCGATTGGATCTTCAGGGTTTTGAAATCTTTTTTCATGTTTCTATTAGAATTTGTGTGATTTAGAACTCAAAGAGCATGATCATTGACCAACATGAAATTCTGAATATTCAAAAAGATCGATTTTAATCTTTTTGAATCCTCAAAACACTCAAGATTCGATCATGCATATATGCGGGTTTTAAAAGGATTTAACGAAGAACAGATGCAAATGTACAAATTCTTAAGGTTCTTAAACCTTATTTCTAAAATCCTTCAAACTTCTTTAATTCAAGAATGGATAGAATCAAATCATGAAATGAAGAAGATTACCTGAAAACGACGATCTTCTAGATGAAGATAGAAGTGTGAGCCATTGACTTGAAGACGATTCTGAATCGAATATCAGATGGTTTGTCTTACTGGGGTGGGGCCAAGCAAATGAATTTCTAGAATGTAGAATTTTTTTAGCCACTACTGTTTATATAGGAAGCAAGGAGTCGGTTTAATGGAAGCTTTAGAGTTTTTCATCTCATTTTTGAATTATTTTTCGTACCTAAATCTAATTTATACATAACCTTTTGATGTGTTTATTTTAGAGTCATTGACTTAGTTGTGTTTTTTGGCGATATAAACCATAGACGATTTTTTGAAACAAAACAAGGAATATACGAGTTCTTTTGGGAAATTGACAAAAATACACTATTTATTATAGAATTAAACAAAAACATCTTTTTATTTTTTTGGCGATATAACGATCCATTCTAGAATATTTGCTCGAAATCTAACATGTTGGATTTGTTTTCCACATCAGGTGCTTTCAGGAAGTACTTTTTCTTAAAAAGAATGGATGTAAGAGGTTTGGTTGTCGTAAGTTCCAACACATTTCAAACTCTTGTTTTGTATTGTAGATGTGGATATGTCTTCGTTAAGAGTTAAATATCTTTATCACCATCGAAATATTATCTTTAGGTGAAGTGAGTTCATCCGAATGCACGAAGAAAGTTTTGTCACCCTGCTAAAGCGTCTACTGTTTCAATGTAGAAATACCAATCCATGTACAATTACACATATCAAGAAAGATCTTGCTGATCGGCTTCAATTCATATTTCTTTTTGTGAGTTGTGTAGTAAAATTCAGTTTTATGACAAATGGTCCACTAATTTGAAGACTCCGAGTGTTTCTAATATGTATGTGACCGATGATATTCATAGGCAACGCCCCTTCAAGAGAACAACTTAGACATCATGTTTTTAGTGGTTGTGATCGATTGAAACAACCAAGTCATGCCCCATAAGGAGTTGGAGCAACACAAAGTCCGGATTACGGTCCTAGTTTAATGAGGCTGAATGAATGCCTTAAAGAGGCCCAAAGTCTAGCAATCATATATGATATGACAATTCATATGGAATTGTCATTAAACATGTCTTCCAAAATGCATATCACAAGGTTTGTTGTTATATTTTTTATGAGCTAGACCTAGTGGCGAGTCTGAAATAGAGATCCATGCGGTTCACTATTTAATTGAAATAGATAAAAATGAAAGAGTATCCAAAAAATGTTACGTAGCAGGTCAGATCGTAATATTTCATAAACAAAAAAAAAAATGGAGCTCTTACAATTATACTCTATGAGGTCTTATATTTTGAAATATATGCACACATGTATTGGAGATTGTTGAGGGGAGAGATGTACTAGCGGAGGAGGAGACCAAAGGCTATCGGCGATCAACATGATGATGATTGTCTGATTAACCGTCGATCACTCAATCAGTCTTTCGTCATTCTGTGTGTGCGTGAAGTGTGATGGCAAAGGAGGAATGAAACGACACCAACAAATCCCCATTCTATGTTTGATTGTTGTTTTTTTTTTTAAATCGTTTTTTTTTCTTTATCTTAATTTTAATTGTTGAAACAGTTTATGTTTTAGAGAGAGAGAGAGTATCTTTATTGTATTCATCTCATCATCAATACAATGTAGAGCACATCTTTTATATAGATGCCTCAATTGTTACAATAGATTTGTAACTTCTCTTAGAGACTAATGCTGACGTCACAAGAGAGTAACTAACTCTTACTAATCTGTTTGTTGACTTGTCTATATACGCTATAAATTGTATTAGGCTATATTGTCATAGGTAATATTATAAATGGACCGAGTATTTGGTCTACTAAAATATAAGATGTTGGCTTTAGAACTCTTGATTTATATTTTTTCTTTTCCATACAAAACATGGTAGGTCACTCTAGATATTTAAGATAGGTCTTAAAATTATTTTATATAACCTATTATAAAAATTTAAACCTTAGGTAGGTCAACTAACCCACCTACACCATGATTGTACTCGCCCTGTTGTGACCTAAGACTGCAATCAATCGAGTAGTGGAAGTTTTGTTCTAGAAGACATGTTAAGCGTATACAATGTTAGATTTTGAAAAGAATTTAGGTAGTATGCAATGTGAAATTTCGAGGCAACATAAATTAGCTTGGCAATATCCTAATATATACTATTTCAAAGCCATGTACCTATATGGTCGCCCAATCAGGTTTCTAAAGTATGATAAAACATTGGTTTACATCCTAGATACGCTCTCTGGCAACACGAATGCACGTTTCTTTCCAGATGAGATCTAGTGTTCTCGTGCTCCTAAAAAAGAGGTTTAGCACTCTACGAAGCTCTTCAATCTTAACTTGCAGTTTCCCCATTTCCGCAACAATCGTAGAAAGCCTTTTTTTGTAGAGATCAAAATATGTTGTAGAAAAACCAAAATATAAACGAATGGAAGAGGCCTCTTGAACTCTTTTTCTCCAACTGAAAGTACGAAGTTACTCTTTCTAAACATGGTAACACCCGAGGTAAATATACAAAATATTAATATATATGTAACTAATTTTTACCTTTGTTTAGGAGTAATCATAATATATTTGAATTGCTAGTGTCATATTTAAAGTTAAACAATATAAACATGTGAAAAACATGCTAAAGAAGGCTAAACGAGGTTAATGGTGAATTTCAAGTTAAGTGGGATTGATGGGTTGTTAACATTTAATTTACCTTTCTATCCCTTAGATTACAGGTTGTTAACATTAAAGACCTGATTCAAACGTATTATGTGCGAATAACAACTTGCATAATATTTCCAACATTACTTTGTTGCGTATATGTTTCTAGGCATCTATTCTAAAGTTCTTAGTTCCATTCGTACAATAATATATAAATTCAAAATTTCAAATATCATCCTACTTCACTTGTTATCATTTCTTGTCATTATTGTACTTTGTATGTTATCATATTTTTTTGTCATGACTTACAAAGTTTATGATCTCTCTTTTATTTTCCAAATGAATCTTAGATGAACAAAATACTATCCATAAGGGTTTGGTATAATGACCTAAATGACATCGTGATCCTTAGATGTTTTTAGTATTTAACCATTTTATTCTAATTAATGGTTCTATCTTAATCTTTCTTTCTTTAACTTATCAGTTTCCAATACTTAAGACCAGTTATGAGTTCGACTTGCATTTGTTTTCCATTGTAACATCCAAATATTTGGAAGTCAATTGAGACTCTAAAAAGCAGACCCTAAAGATGGAAGAAAAAAGTACATGGTTAAAGTTTCTTATGACTTGGCAGTTGGTAGATGTATGGTATGATCCGGTGTACGTGCGACCGGCTATTGCTCACGTATTAGTATTCATGAGCCTATTTTTGTCAAACCCTAAGAGAGAGAGAGAGAGAGAGAGAGAGAGAATGAATTAAGGTGGATGGTGGTTGTTACACTACTTGAAAGGTACTTCCAGATCTTCTTATGCTTTAGAAAGAAATTAATAGTTTTGGAAGGGTTTTTTTTTTTTTTTTTAATGTTGACTTAGGAGGTTGTAAGGGTTCAGGAAAGAACACATGTTATTTGTTCACTATTGGAGGCATAACAAAAAGTTGGATGTCCAACTTACAAAAGATGGTTATTCTTTCAACCATAGAAGTATAGTGCATGACAATTGTAAAAGCAAGAAAAGAGCTTATATTGTTGAAGAACTTCCTATGATGACTTGGGGTGCAGGAAGAATACCGTGTATTGCATTGGATGAAACACTGATCTGTTACTTTTAAATTTCATATTTTTGCCAATATTGTTATTATGGTTGAAATCAACTTCAAGTTTAGAAAACATATCGTTGGAATCCGAAAATAACCTAGCAACCTCCTTACAAAACCCAAAATTCCACATTTTCAAACATAACTATTTAAACCTAGCATGTATATTTACCCCGACCATCCTATATAAACTAAAGGTAAGCATGGAGCAGGTCCATGGGGTTTGTGACCAAATCAAACTGCAAACCACATATGTGGTTTTTATAATTACATAAACTGAACAATACGTTTTTTTAGTTTTTTTATGAGGTGCAGTTTTTTCGGTTTTCTGTAAGGTGTGATTTTTTTTCGGTTGTGGTTCAGTTTCAAACCGCATAACTTTTTGTGGTTTTTTATTGTGGAGTTTTGATATTTTTGACCATCATAGTATCAAAATTGACTATATTTAGCCACTGAATATTTGATCATGCTAAATTAGACCCTAAAGTCTCAGTTTTGGCTTGATTTACCCCTTACGGCCTGGTGAAGTTGGTCACCCGGTATCAATGTCTACATGGCATCCGACGTGGATAAGTTGTATTATAATTGTCATTCCTACCTTTCTAAGTGGGTCTAAGTTATATATGTGGGGCACAACTGATCCGTACTCACTCGCCTTCAATAAATATGCTCGATTTCTGCCACATCTTTTATCGCTTGCTCTTCAAATTCAAACAGATCCAACTGAAGATCGATCAAATCAAAGTTAAA